TTGGTGGGGGGCGGGGCGCCTCTCCTCTTCGCCCACCCTCAAATCCGCCCACTCCCCAAATCCGGATTACAGTGGAAGCTGTAGGTTTTGCTCTCTGTTAGCCCAACTCCCCACCTTCTAATCCAGGAGCCAGGTTTGGGGCTCCCAAAGAACATTTCCCTGGAGAGCAGAGCTCCTGTATACAGCTTCATTTTCCCCCTAAGGGACCAGATGGAGTGAGGGGGGGGGACTAAAAAACTTTCCCCTCCTTCCCCACGGAGTGTCTTTTGTCAACCGAAAAGTTGGTGGCAATCCCGTGGAAACTCTACTAACCTGACGTTTGGGATTTGAACAAGTCCAGAACAAGATCGGTAGGGGGAGGGAGACAGAAAAAAAAAAAAAGGACGGGTTTGGACTCACCACCCAGAAAACTTTTTTTTTTTTTTTAACTTTCCAAGATCCAGTTGGAAATCTGAAAGTGTAAGTGAGTCTGAGCTGCGAAGCCGAAGGGATTTAGTCGCGTTGGGCTTTGGCTTTAGTTTTCTTCTCCCTGTGCTCAACCGCCCGAGCTTTCAGACAGAAGAAAATTGAAGCTAATGGAGATATCAAACCGAGCCACAATTCCGAAGGCTCCTCGTCGGCCACTAACACCCACCACCGTCCATCTGCACGTGTAATCACACAGACTTGCTCCTCATTACCAGGGGCTCCGAGAACGGGAGAAAATTCTCCATCGTTAAAAGGAACCTTTTATTATCACTGCTATTATTTGTGTATAGCAACATAAGAATTTCTTTCTCATCTTAAAATTCCCCCACAATATTGAAGCAGCATTTGTTGTCTGATTCATACAAACGCTTGAGGCCTTTCTGAGAAACTATTACCATTCAATGGCTAGAAAATTGCTCTCCTTCCTTTAAAAAAAAAAAAAAAGGCCGGTGTAGCAGCAGCTACACAGACAACAAAAACTTTCTCCTGCATAATCCTCCCTCGCAGAATGACAAAGAAATGATATTGACTTACCCCCGAACGGATGATGTGTTTGATAAGGGGGGGACTTTTTTTTGAAGATTTCTGTCCGGGAGCTACACAGACAGCTGCAATTCATGGGCGACGCTGATTGCCAGAAACGCTATGGATTGGCATGGGGTCTGCAGCTCACAGATTCTGATCAATACCCCTACACTCACACGCCAGATGGTTTGGGGAAGGACAAAAATAAAATACTCCAAATCAACCTACCATTATGTCTTTTTGTATTGCTCTGATAAACCTAACTGTAGCACAAATGTGTTCTGGCCAACACAAAACCTAAAAAGATTTTGAGCATTTGGGTAGAAATAAGAAGCCTTGCTCCTCCCTAGATTTGGGCTATAGTTCATGTTGTTTAGTAAAAACAAAGGTGTTGGGTCCCTTCTGCAGATTGGGTTTACTTGTGGTCTGTTTATTTTTTCGTGAATAATTTATGGAGTTTCTGTTTTAATTGAATCTCTCTTCCCATAAAAGTAATTATTTTAATGTGAAAAATACATATAAGAATTCTGGCAGTAAATATTTCAGTCTCCCTGCAGTTGCTAAGTGAAACTTTGATGTTTTTTCTTTTACAGTGTAATAGTCTTTATTTGTTGTCCAAGCTGCATTTTACTTACATGCTTCTTTTGACTCATTTTAGTTTCTGATCTTGAAGAATAGCTGATCTGCAGATGTGGTGTACCAAGAAGTGGATCTTCTAGTTTGATTTAATGTTTGGTACAATTCATTGCTTGTGTTCTAACAGTCATAAGCTAGCTGCTACAACACCACATTTTTGTAGTCTATTTGTGAATCAAATGCTGGAGGAAGAAAGGAAGAGCCAGAGTGTAACTTCAAATTGAAAGACAACATTCCGAGCTACAGAACTTATGAAGATCAGATTATGAATGCTACACAAGGAGCAGTTTGAAAGCAACTTGTCCTTCTTATGTTGTTACAGAAACATACAGAAGCATCAAAGATATCTCGAAACATATTTGAAAATCTTATTAGTGTTGACAGTCTTAAATTTTTCTTGAAGTAGAAAATAAGCATTTTCCCTTTTTAGAAAGAAAGGGAAAAGGGCATCCAAACCTAAATCAGTAAAAATTAGGGTGCTAACTAAATGAGCACTTTCATTTTCCTTTTAAGTGGGTTCTGGGTTGAAACATAAAACCTCAAACCACCATTAGAAAACCAACGTGAAAAATCTGCTTTAATCTAGTCCAATGAAATTATATACAAAGAAGCCAATACGATTTCATGATTTCCCTGAGATCGCCAATATTGATCGAGCGAAGGGGGAGGAATGGTGGGAGAGAAGGAGAAGGGAGGGAGGGAGGAAGGGAGGGGAGAGAGAAAATGCAACTCACCTTTCTGCTCCCTGGAACATTGAAATGCAATTCCCAGGAGCAGATTTATCTCAGTGGCCTGGTGAATGAATTTATCATTTTGAAAAAATATTTAAATGGAGATTTATATACCTACATTTTTGTATGGAAGCAGCACCAGCCTTGGGGTCACTGGTCACTTGAGCCTGAAACCAGGGCAGTGGACGCTACCTTAGGATCAGAGTCCATCAAAGTGACCCTTTCCCAGTCCTGTTCTTCTCCTGTCCTGTTTCAACCACTGAGCACTTGGGCACCAACAGCAGGTTGCTGTTTTGTGAACTTTCATTCTACTCAGCATGAATTTGAAACATTAACTGGTTTAAATTATTCCAAGTGCTCAGTCACCATATATAAGGTAGGGAGTGGAAACAAATACAGTAGGAGGCGGCAAAGGGAGGAAGAAACCAAAACAACAGAAAGCTGAGTTATTTTACCTGTCTTCTACTGTGACACTGAGAAAAGCCAGAAAACTATATTTGGCAAACCCGGGTATGTGCTGCGTTCTTACCTAGGCTTTGAGATCACAGAAGACGTTATTTGAAGAAGTAATTGGCAATGTATTGGCCAAAGCTCAATAAAGTTGATCTATGAATAACCTCACTGTACATTAATGTGACAGGATGGTGTGTGTGTGTGAGGGGGGAAGGGAGATTCTCTGTAGCTAGGACAGCAGGGCAGCAAAAAAAAAGGTCACTGCGAATAAGAACTGTTTTTCAAATGAATTAAACCTTTCTCTAGCCCCTAAGAAGGCGCATACAGTATTCCAGGCTGTCCCTGTTTTCTTATCAAGTTTTCTCTAACAGCTGGAAGTGGTTGGAGGGGGCTGTCTTCAGGAGACCCCCTGCTCTTCTTTTGACAGCTGATCAAAAGAAAATAGGTCACGCTTCTCAAACTTATGTCCACCCTGTCCTTAATTACTGTCTCTTTAAACAAAGGCAACATCTGCGCAACCTCAGCTAGCTTGAATCTTCGGAGGCAAACAGAGCGCAACCTGCATTGGAAGAATCTGTTACTTTTAAGGCTTTCAATGCAGTGTGTTGGCCTCGCTGGCTGTCTCTAACCTCCCCTCCACCCCCACACACAGGCCGCGGAAATCACCACCTCCTCTCGCCCCACTTCTACTCCCACCTCTCCATCCAACAACAGAAATTCTAAGGTGCATTTTTAAAGCTACGGCTTGCGAGCGTTCTACAGCGTGGTGGAGCCAACCGGGAGGCTCCGGTCTTTTCAGGAACAAGGTTTGAATATGCAGATGTAAGCCGAGGCTGGCGTCATCTACCCATCGCGGTACCCCGGGACGTTCTTCTCTCGGGATTCCACACACGCTGTGTGTGTGTCTTAGAGGAAAGATCCGCGTGTGTCGTCCCGGCTAGTTTGCATACACCTTGCCCCAGAAGTTTGTTCACCCTCACCCCACGAGTTACAGTAGTCTCTCCCCCATCTTTCCAAGTCGCTGAAGAAGCAAGCACTTAATCACCTTGAAACCGCAGCTCCCGGAATTCTAATTTTGTTTTGCAATCTAGCAGAGCCCTTCTGAGGCCTCATAACTGGGAGATTTATGGGCTCGCCAAGTAATTAAATGATGTTATTGTGTTAACTTTGCATGCATTACGGCTGCCCGCGCCGCCCGTGGGCCATCGGCCGGCCGCAGCTCGCAGGCAGCGAGGGCGACGGAGTTCCTTTCGCCCCGTAGATTATGCACGCCCCAGTCTCGGGAATTTGTCATGCATTAGAAGACATTAGCTCCTGCATTTTAAAAGCTAAACTGCTGGATCCCGGCTGGGGACTCTCGGGAAGTGGTTTGGTTGGAGACGCGCGTTTGTTTTTACACCAGCGCTGAGCGGAGTCCTTTCCTCCCAGCTTACTAGCCTGAAAAAAAAGCTCTGAGGTGAGGCAAAGGGGACCAAAGCAAAGCTCCTTTCCCCAGATCGAGCTGCCCTGGAGGGACCTAGCACGGCATCTTTCACATAATCTCTCTCCTCGGTCCGCACTCTAGCCTCTCTCTCTCTCCCCGGCACCCCCTTCTGCTCCCTCCCTTCCCTTGACGTTTGATTCCTGTAGCAAAGGAGGAAAAAAAAGGCACCGAGCCCTCAGCCAAACATGAAACGCCCGGCCCCGCCCCCTCCAAATCCATTGGTAGGTGCATGACGAAGGCCCGCCCACCGGGGAAGGAGTGACTGAGGATTGGCTTCTTGTGGCGCCAGTCCGGCGCGGCCCCGCCCGGGCCCGGGAGGGTAGGTTGGCTGTCCCGGCGAGCGGCAGAGCCCTTCTGGACAGCTCCCGCTCACCCAAACAGAAGACGTCGGCGCCGGAGCGGGCTCGGACATGGCGAGGCAGCGCGCCGGCCCAAGCGGCGGGGCCCGGTGATCCCTCCCTCCCTCCCCGCCCCTTTCCCTCTCCCGCACGCACGCCCCATCCGCCCCCACCCCGCCCCCACCCCGGGCGCGCCCGCCTGCCCGCCGGCAGCCCGGGGCACACACCCGCACGCACGCTCCCCTGCACACACTCACGCACTATCGCGCCCGCCCCCGCTCCCGCGGCCGAGTCCCGCCACGCGCACCCTGCCAGCCCGCCGGCCGCCCCCACCGACCCCGCCGCCCCCGGGCCCCGATGGACTGAATGAAGGCTGCCTACACCGCCTATCGATGCCTCACCAAAGACCTAGAAGGCTGCGCCATGAACCCGGAGCTGACAATGGAAAGTCTGGGCACTTTGCACGGGCCGGCCGGCGGCGGCAGCGGCGGGGGCGGGGGCGGGGGCGGCGGGGGCGGCGGCGGGGGCCCGGGCCATGAACAGGAGCTGCTGGCCAGCCCCAGCCCCCACCACGCGGGCCGTGGAGCCGCCGGCTCGCTGCGGGGCCCTCCGCCGCCGCCAGCCGCGCACCAGGAGCTGGGCACCGCGGCGGCCGCAGCAGCGGCTGCTTCGCGCTCGGCCATGGTCACCAGCATGGCCTCGATCCTGGACGGCAGTGACTACCGGCCCGAGCTCTCCATCCCGCTGCACCACGCCATGAGTATGTCCTGCGACTCATCCCCGCCCGGTATGGGCATGAGCAACACCTACACTACGCTGACGCCGCTCCAGCCGCTGCCACCCATCTCCACTGTCTCGGACAAGTTCCACCACCCGCACCCGCACCACCACCCACACCACCATCACCACCACCACCACCAGCGTCTGTCGGGCAACGTCAGCGGCAGCTTCACCCTCATGCGCGACGAGCGCGGGCTCCCGGCCATGAACAACCTTTACAGCCCTTACAAGGAGATGCCCGGGATGAGTCAGAGCCTGTCCCCACTGGCTGCCACGCCGCTGGGCAACGGGCTGGGTGGCCTCCACAATGCACAGCAGAGCCTGCCCAACTACGGTCCGCCGGGCCATGACAAAATGCTCAGCCCTAACTTCGACGCGCACCACACTGCCATGCTGACCCGCGGTGAGCAGCACCTGTCCCGGGGCTTGGGCACCCCGCCCGCGGCCATGATGTCGCACCTCAATGGCCTGCACCACCCTGGCCACACTCAGTCCCATGGGCCAGTGCTGGCTCCCAGCCGCGAGCGGCCCCCCTCATCTTCGTCGGGCTCGCAGGTGGCCACGTCTGGCCAGCTGGAGGAGATCAACACCAAAGAGGTGGCCCAGCGCATCACCGCCGAGCTGAAGCGCTACAGCATCCCACAGGCGATCTTCGCACAGAGGGTGCTATGCCGGTCTCAGGGGACTCTCTCCGACCTGCTCCGGAATCCAAAACCGTGGAGTAAACTCAAATCTGGCAGGGAGACCTTCCGCAGAATGTGGAAGTGGCTGCAGGAGCCCGAGTTCCAGCGCATGTCCGCCTTACGCCTGGCAGGTAAGCCCAGCGGACAGCCAGGGGCCAGCTGCTGGGTAGACAACTTCGGGGTTCCTATGGGTTCTTTTTCCCCCAGGAACGTCTTCTGGTTACCCCCATACACACACACACACACACACACACACACACATTCACGTCCCCTTTTTTTCGTCTTTTTCTTCCATTTCCTCTTTCGCTTTTCTTTCTCTCTTCCCTTGTCTTTTTCTTTTTCCTCCTCTCTTCCTCGATCCTGAGTTGTCACTCTCCTCCCCCCCCCCATTTCATTCTCCCTCCTCTCAGTGTGTCAACCTTTGCCTTAACTTTCCTACCTTCTCCAGCAGGGGAAGGAGGCGCGCGGCGTCCCCTAGGAGTCCTCTGTGTCCAGGACTCACAGAAAGCGGGAACTGCCCTTATTTGAAACCGGTGTACCTGAACTCATTCTTTGACATCACATTTCAGTTTTCCAGGCTGCCTAGTATCCCTTTACGGAGCTTTGCTCTTTAGAAGGGAAAAAGAGCTTTCCATTCCTCCTATCCATCATATCAAGCAAACTTCTTTGGTCATTGGCAAGAGGCACAACCTTGCCCGCGCCGGGAACTGTCGGCCGGGATACAACACTGCTTCCGGAGCCCATCTCCGGCCTTGGTGTTCTTGCAGGGACTTTGTGACCGAAAGAGAGGGGTCCAGCCAGCTCCAGTGTTACTGCCTACAGAAAGGGTAGGGTGCAAGGACGAAGGTTGGGACTGCCACATTCACCGCTTTGGGAAGACAAGAGACAAGAGACAGAGTGGAGAGCTCCCTGCCTCACTCACTAGTCGTCCTTGCCTGGCTCCCAGCCTTTTGCTGGTATTTGCCAGCTATGCCGGGACTAGGAGCTCTCAGGAAGAGATACTGAGAAATTAAGATGCAGGTTACTTAATGCATCTCGACCGCAGGCTGTTAGCTCCGCCTTTGCATTAAGCGGACGGTGATTGTGCGCGTAGCGGGGCAGCGGGGAGGGCTGGCCGCCCGCGGGAGGGGACGGGTCGACGCGCGGGTTACATTGTTCTGAAGCCGGCTCGGCTCTTTGTGCCTCCTCTAGCGGCCGAGCCGCGAGGTACAGCCCTCTATTGTTCTAGGAGCACAGAAACCTTCGGAGTGGGCGGCGGGTGCGGGAACTAGAGTGAAAGGCGCAGCAGTGGCTGCGACTGGCACGCAGTTGCGCGCTTTTGTGCGCGAAGACCCGGCGCCGCGCGCGTGGCAGCTGCTCGGTCCTCAGAACCGAGCCTAGAGGGGCAGTGTCCAAATTCCCCACAAAGGAACACACACAATACCTAATTGCGAGTCTGGTGGGCGGCTTCTCCTGACTGGTGTGTGTGTGTGTGTGGTGACGGGGCTGGGGGTGGGGAGAGAGAATCTCTTAGAATCCGCGGGCGCTCTGGGAGAGCAATTCGAGATAGCATTGGTTTGCATAGCGCGGAGGATCCGAACCCACTGTGCACAGAGCTCAAACTCCCACTTCTGCTCCCCAGGGCTCCCCCTCCCCAAATGGCTGAACCCGGCTTGTAGGGTGCACTGTACTGACGCCCAACAGGATTTGGGAATATGACAGGCAGCTTATTCACTCAGGTTTGGGGAGGGGGTGTTTGCGCTCTGGCAGTCCCCTCCTTTGCCCACTGCTCGGAGATTTCAATCCCCACTCACCGCCTGACAGTGTTGATCTAAGGAGGTAAAAAAAAAACAGCTTTGCCCTCAGAGCATTCCCCAAATCGGTGGATTTAGAAGTCCATCTTCTTTTCTCCTTCAGCTTATTCTTCATCCTCTCTTACAATTTTCTCACACTTGCTCTTAGTTCCTGGCAAAGATAAAGCAGTAAGTAGAGAGTGGCCGTGAGGAATAAGCTGGAGGCCTATTGTAGTACCTCTTTGTTTTAGATACCCCAAATGTCATAGGCCCTCTTAGGCTGGCTCCAGGGATGGGTGGCTTCCTGGGGATGGGGGGGGTCATAGGAACTTGGTAGCTGCCCTTAGGGGTACACTTAAAAGACAGTGACAGCTATTTTACTCCGGCTCATCTCAGAGCGCTGCCGCCCCCTCACGCCTGTCATGCAAAGGACATAGCTTTTTGAAAACACTGCCTTCTGCCTATGTAGGTCTGAAAATGATGTAGGAAGCATGTGTTTCATTTTTTAGCGTCTTTCAGCATTTACAGTTGACCGCAAGTATGGCTGAAATACAGGAGAGTGTGGCGTTGGGGGAGTCCAGGGATGACCCCTCTGGGTCTGGCCTAGGAGATCACGCTGCAGAGATTTGGGGCAGAGGAGCTCACTGAAGCCTTCTGGCGGGAGTCAGAATGCCTCCTCAGCGAGCTGGAAGTGCCCTGATGAGGATCAGCTTTTCTCAAGCATTCAGATGTACGGCTGTTTTATTGCCCTGGATTGAAAAGGGACAACAGCTTCAGCCTTTTTATCTGGCCATTTTATCTGCAACTACAAGTGTGTTGAGTGGTTATTATTGCATAGGAGGCTTTTCAGTTTGGGGTCAGTAGATCAGTCTCTTCAGACACAGAAGCTGGGACTGGTAAGTAGGTATTATGTGCCCAGGAGCGCTAGGGGACAGGAGCAAGTGGAAAAGAAAAGGGAGGCCTTCTCTGCCAGGAGTATCGATTTTAATTCCCGCGGGAACACCAGGGAGGGTACATGCCTCTGGGTGGCTGGGGTTAAACAAGCCAGCCTCCAAGGGTGGTTCGCTGGACTCTCTGCCCTTCAAGAGAAGGTGTCCATGCCGCTGAGTCTGTCGGGGTATCTCTCTCTCTCTCGTTTTCTGTTTTCTCATTTTGAGTCCCTCTGGGGACTCAGAGGCCCTACCAAAGAGGGATTGATAGGCCCCAGAGTTAAGACTTTGATTTGGCTAGCACCTGCAAACCCCACCACGGATCAAGTATGCCCAGTCATCAGAAAGGTAGGTCCTTCCTGCCCCTGGAGTGCTCCCCTGCTCTCCTCTCTACCTAGCTGAGGGGTGGGGTGGGAGGACTTACAGGGGAGGAGGTAGACTTCGGGGAAAACCAGGTTTCCCCAACAGTAGATGTCAGAGAAAGAAACTGTAAATGCACAGTTTCGTCGGAAAGGGTGGAAGGCAGCTGGTGGTTGCAACCCTGCCAGTCTGGTCTCCTCAAGGGTTCCCAAGGCCTGACCTTCGGGTGGTTTTATTAACCAGGCAAGATGCAATGAGGATAAATTCCCTCGGGTTAGACACACTCATTCTCAGGCTTTGAACCCAACGGGCATCTGCATCAAGCACAAACATGAACTCTGGCAAGAACCTGAACGAGAGCCGAGGAAAAAAAAAACCCGAGATCTCTGTGGCGATGGTGTTTTTGTTTGTTTTGTTTTGTTTTTCCCCAACGGCAGACGTCAGAGAGGAGCCGCGATTACATTCCCTGCCTAGGTTTCCTGTGAACCCCACTCCGCTGGTGGCCTGTCCCGAGCTCCAGTCCCCGCTGCGGACTGACCCACAACCTTCCCCAAGTAGGAGCCGCAATGGCCAACTCAGTTCAGGCGGTCACAGGCCTTTAAACAACCCAGGATGACGTGTGTCCTCCTGACAGCCGTGTGTCCCAGCAGCGGCCACGGGAAGGGGCTCAGTGTGCACGTATATCTCTTGTTGCGTGGGGCACATTCTTGGGCAAGGCGGGGTCGCCGGCCGACTTTGAAGCCGAGTTGCTGTAAGAGGTACTCCTTCACAGCGCTCCTCCATCCCCATCCAATCCCTATGTCCTCCATCTGGGACTCCTCCGGACTCCCGGACTCCGGATCCAGCCCACTTCTCCCAGGGGTTCAGTTCCGGATCTGAGCCCGAAAAACTGAGCGCAACCTACACCGACACGAAACAGACGATGTGTTCGCCTGCCGGCTGATGGGATTAATAATTGAAAAGCTTGCTTTGTCAAGTCCCGGGTGCCCGAAGAACGCCTTCCTACCATTAGGGTGGACAGGGAGTGGGTGGAGGAGGCAGGCGGGACGCGAGGAAGGGGATTGAATACGAGTGCTAGAAGGATCTCAAGCCGCTGAGCGCCCTGGTAGCGAGGGGCTTGCGCATTTATTTTTATTTCAGGCTTTCCACCGTGTGGTTATGTCACTTTCTCAAACAAATGTGTATATGGAGGGAGATCGATGCTGATAATGTTTAGAAGATTAAAAGAGCATTAATGCTGGCAACAATAACGTAAACGTGTGGACCCAGATTTCATTGATCTGGAACCTGATCCGGCGCGTTTCCAGTAAGTCCGACGGCGCGCTTTTCCCAGCAGAGCGCTCGCCAGCGTCCAGGCTCCCCGGCGCTCTGGCTGAGCGGCTCGCCAGCCGGGGCAGGTTCACGGGTCTGACCGCAACTCCTCCCCCGAGCAGCCTGAGCCGGCTTACTTCTCGCCAGGGTTTTCTCCTCCTCTCTCAGGACTCCCCCTCCCTCTCCCGCAGCCCCCCGTCCGCCCTGCGGTGCACGCACGCTGTTCTCTGATCACGGTGGGTCTCCAGGGCGTCTGGGTCTGCGAAAGCGCTGCACCGAAGGGCGCTCGAGTCCTCCCAGTTCTCCTGTCCTTGGCCCGACAGGGCTCGAGGCAACTTGTTTTTCATCCAAACCATTCGGGAAAGGCCCATTGATTTCGCAATTCGGTCTCGATATATGAGAACAACCATGTTTGCAAGTGACATAGTAAAGATTCTGCGAACTTCTCACCTTTAACTTCGGTGGATCCTCCCCCTCCTTACTAAAAGTTCCGCTCACAGACTTTTTTACACAGATACCTTAGTTAAGCAATTAAACGCAGGCCCGGCAACAAAAGTCTGTACTTCATCCCTCAGAATAGGTAGAATTCCGTGGACTAATTGGATCCACCCTGCAAGAATCTTGTCTGTACTCCGAGGACTGTAGGAAAAATAGACTGGAGAACGCCCACCCCGCCTTCCAGGAGCCATTCATCCAGGCAATTATTTCTATTTATGCCCTCCTCTAGGGGCTTGGAGGCAAGGGTCGAAGGACCATCCT